AACAAACACCTCTATAAAACAAGAACTGAGGGGCACCTGGGTGGTTCAGTTGGTTAAGTGTCCAACTTTGGCTCAGGTCATGATCTTGTGGTCAGGGAGTTTGAGCCCTGCATCGGGCTCTGTGTTGACAGCTCAGAGCCTGGAGCCTGTTTTGGAATCTCTGTGTGTCTGTCTCTCTGCCCCTCCCCTGTTCACTCTCTGTCTGTCTCTCAAAATAATAAACATTAAAAATTTTTTTTAATTATAAAAAATAAAAAATAAAACAAGAATTGAAAGTAGATAGAGAAAAGCTTAGGGAAAATACTATAAAACAATATGATACAGCAAAATAACAAAAGGAAATTAAACATCAGTGTATATACCTTAAGAAAGAAATGTAGAAGTAAAATAAAACCATGCAGAGAAAAAAGAAAAGCCATATTGGTCACAGCACAAAGAATAGACTTTGCTGAAAACATGTGCTGAGATACAGTAAGCAAAACAAGCTGATGAAAGAGACACTAATGGAAAATTAAAAGGACTTCCAACATAAGCATAATCAGTATTCTCAAAGAAAAATAAGTGACTCAAAAATGTCAATGTTCAATCCACTATGTATTTTTACTTAAGGGTGATAGCCCAGATATCAACATTTTGAAACATGAAAGACATCAGAGAATACAGTTCTTATGCTCCCTACTAGAGGACAGGCTTCAGCTAAGCATAAACTATGCACAAGGCTTGGAGGTGAGCTTTGAATCCACATAACTGTAGAACTAAGACTAAAACAAAAGAGATAATAAATAATTGCTAATCATAAACGTTATACTATATATACCCATTAAAAATGTGAGTGTTATAATCCCTGACAATATGTATTTTTTAAAACCACATTGCTTTTGAGGTGCCTGGGTGGCTCAGTCAGTTAAGCATCCGACTTCAGCTCAGGAAGGTCTTGATCTCAGAGTTCATGAGTTTGAGCCCCGCGTCGGGCTCTGTGCTGACAGCTTGGAGCCTGGAGCCTGCTTCAGATTCTGTACCTCCATCTCTCTGCGCCCCTCCCCCACTCATGCTCTGCCTCTTTTCTCTCAAAAATAAACAAACATTTAAAAACATTTTTTAAAAAGAAAATTCACTGCTTTTATTTATGATACCATCAATAATGTAAACATCCCCAGAACAGGCAGCAATTCACAAACCTTCTAAATGTTATATTTAGATATTATAAAGGATCTCATTTAGCTCTTAATGATGGTTTAATGAATGATCCATCAACTTATAAAGCAAAATGATTCTTTTGATGCCTTATGCCCCAAGTCTGTCTTTTTGAATTGGCTGGTTTTATTGTCATGGTTTGTTGGTCAGGCTTAAAAATGAAGGTGTGGGGGCGCCTGGGTGGCTTAGTCGGTTAAGCGTCCGACTTTCGCTTAGGTCATGATCTTGCGGTTCGTGGGTTCGAGCCCCGCGTCGGGCTCTGTGCTGACTGCCAGCTCAGAGCCTGGAGCCTGTTTCAGTCTGTGACTCCCTCTCTCTCTGACCCTCCCCTGCTCACGCTGTCTTTCTCTCTCTCTCCTAGAAATAAAAAANAAAAAAAAAAAAAAAAAAAAACATTAAAAAAAAAAAAATGAAGGTGTGATATGGACAACTACTTCTGAAAGAGACCATTCTTGATCTTTAGAAGTTTCTTTAGGAAAAATCTGGCAGTAAATGAATTGAAGATAATGAAAATTTCTTCAGTTATTCACACCACAGATGACTCTAATTAGGATTTTCCCTCTCTGGCTATCTTCTTCTTGTGTCTTTGGATATCAGCTTTCTCTTAGGTAACTATAGACCTGGGAAATGAACTCCATTCATGGTGGTCAGTTAAGTTAAACTCTACTCCAGCTGTGCAAAAACTGAGTGTCCAACCTTAGAAATACTATGTAAGTTTTTATCACTAACAGCCTTAGCAGCTGATTTTTTCCTTATTCTTGAAAATTGCTGGGGTACCCGGGTGGCTCAGTTGGTTAAGCATCTGACTCTTGATACTGCCTCTCGTCATGAACTCATGGTTCATGAGATTGAACCCCCGGTTGGGCTCGTGGAGCCTGCTTGGGATTCTCTCTCTCCCTCTCTGCGCCTCTCCTCCAACCTTGTCCCTCCCCCCTCCCCCCACATGCACTCCCTCTCTCTCTCTCTCAAAATAAACATTAAAACAAAAAACAACAGAAAATTGTTGTCACCACTGAAACAGAGTTGTGTGGAAGACAGATATCTCTGTGTCTTTGGCCAACTCTAATCTATAGTTAGAGGAATGCTTTTTCTCTATTTGGTTTCACAACTTAATGCTTATTACACATCATTTATTCTAGTTTAGGGTCCGGAGTACTAAAAATAATAAAAACGAGAGTTTAAAATGGGCACGTTCGGGGCGCCTGGGTGGCTCAGTCAGTTAAGCATCCGACTTCGGCTCAGGTCATGATCTCATGGTTCATGGGTTCGAACCCTGCATCGGGCTCTGTGCTGACAGCTAGCTTAGAGACTAGAGCCTGCTTCAGATTCTGTGCCTCCCTCTCTCCCTGACCCTCCCCTGCTCATGCTGTCTCTTTCTCTCTCTCTCTCAGAAATAAATAAAACATTAAAAAAGAAATTTTTTAAAAAATGGGCATGTTCAATTAACTAAAATGTCTTGCTTGGCTATGGTCTCCACACTGTTTTGATCCATAATTCTCGAAAGTATAAGATCTGTAGGCATGTGATATCTTTATTTAGAGGTTATATGCACACGTGCTGCTATAATAATATAGCATGTACATTGTAAGGCATAATACAGAAATTCCCAAAGAATTAAAGATAAAAATATTTACTTATTAAAGGCAAATGATTTTCTGCTGTCACTACAAATTGTTAACAATACTAACAAGAATAATGTGATTTAATATACTTTATAATTTCTGAACATTTCAGTTTAATCTCTTGTGATTGAGCGATTTAATACCTGGTTTTAATGTCTGCCAGAAATACCTGATGAAGATACGCAGACCTAAACCAGAAAGGGACACTATGACATGGAGTCTCTTGACTTACAATTCCATCTTCTGGTAAGGAAAAGGTTTAGGGGTGTTGTGTGTGTGTGTGTGTGTTTATTTTGTTGTTATTGCTAACTGACATTCAGCTAATCAATGTCCATCTCTCCTGATATTAGTTGCTCTTGAAAGCTTATTAAAATTATTGAATTTTTATCTCTTTAGGAATTGTGTTCTAAAACCACTGAAACTTCATAAGATTTTTTTTTTCCACTGGGTTAGGACTTTCCGTTTCCAACTTATTGAACGTACAGATGCGAAGAGCTTCAATAGGTGACACACATCATTTTTTCAAATAGGATCACATTTCCAAACACTCATTTTCAAAAATATGCTTCCAGAAGCACAGATTTCTTTTGAGAAGTACTTTACCTCTCATTGTTACAATGCTACTTCTACGTTGAAGGGCTATATTTAAGTGTATTTTTTAAAAATACACTTAAGGTATGAGGTTGCACCCACCGAGACTGTTCAACACAGAAAGGTCAGCAAACAGGGGCGCTTGTCTTTTTGTAAAAGAAAAACGAAATAATAATTCTGTTCCATGTGTAGAAGTACACCGAGGCTCATTACTCATCTCATCACAAAGTGTATACAAAGATGCTACTATACTTCAAAGATCTTGCTGTTCTAGAATCAACTAAGTAATACTGTCCTACAGCATTCTGTCTATGTTGTGGCTTTAACTCCTTTGCTTTCCTTCAACAGCTTGTGCGATAACTTGCTTGTGAACGTTACACTAAAAGAGCTTCGTACAGGTCACTGTTCATGACAGTGAGTGCAAATCCTTACTTCATAATTCCTATGGAGCAGGGCTGGCTTCTGGTCAGATTTCATGAATTTTTTTTTTATCCCAAATGGGGACACCTGTTGTATGTTCCTCCTGTCCACTCTCTCCTTCTTCTTCTCTGTCAGAAACTCAGGGGGCACATGACCTACCCAGAGCAGAAACTACATTTTCAGTCTCTTCCTTCTGCAGCTACACATGGCCTTGGAACAAAGTTTGGGTCATTGATGTGCATGGAAACAGTGGGGACCCTTAAGAGGAAGGGGCTATCACTTGCTCCCTTTCCTCTGAACTAGATGGAATTCAGATGTGATGGCTGAAGTCTAAGCAACCATGTTGCAGCAAGAGGGAGAGCCCTGGTGTTGAGGCAGCCAGGACAGTAAGAGAAAAGGAGTCAGGGTCCTTTGTGACTGCATTGCCATCGAGTCAGCTCTGCACCACCTGTGTTGCTGTGGGAGAAGTACACGTCTATGTTTCTTGAGTTTTGTGATTCTGGGTTTTCTGGCTCTTGCTGCAGTACTGACCACCAGCTAACACACCCGGTAACAGTGAATGGAAAGCTCACGCAAAGACTCTGAGAAGACTCGGCTCTGCCATCTTGTCACGTCACGTGTTTGCACTGTTCACGACACCTTCGCTCTGCAGCTTCCTAACAGAAGCTGCGCATAAGCCACTTGCCTATTGCCTATTGTTGTCGGGATTCGTCTACAGGAACGATGTGATATAACCATTATGTCTACTCTATCGGGGATGCATGAACTGAAACGTGTATCAACAACTTTGAAAGCAAATGCACGAGGGGGCCGCCATCAAGCCACTGCCACTCCAGTCCCTTCTTTAGACAACTCAAGACCCATGTGTGGTCTGTGTCTGATGAAACAGACCACAAGGGAACACCAGCATCCACATTAAACATTAGTAAAGATTCTTTTTTTTTCTTGGTCAATACATACTTCCACAAAGACGTTCTATAGACTTTCCCCTGCTCTTCTCCCCCCTTTACTAACAAATGCCTCTATACACAGCCCCTGGTGTGCAAGCACCCCACTATGAAGTGTACTGATAGGGAAAATATGCATAAATACGTGGCCTCCATAAGACTGAAAACTTGTACAAGCAAACGGTAAATCAGGGGGTAGGTGGACATAAAGATTTTGGTGCCTTACCTGAATACCTCCAGAATAGTCCTTTCAGATAACTTGGGAGCCACCTGCTTAAATGCTTTCTTGAAATCTTCCAAAGTTAAATATCCACGATCTATTTGAAATCAAAATATAAAACATTCACTTACTTCTATAAACCCTATGAACTGTTATCTCCACCATATTTGTGTGAAACTTTGTTACTCGGGGAAAAGCAATGAATAAAAAGGTAATCTGAGACTGTGTCACTGGAAGAATGTGAGAATTTGGCAGCACTCTCCTTCCATGCAGGCCCAGATGACCGCACTAGCCTATCTAGTCACTTCTAGTCCTGTCATTTGCAGATTCTCTAAGTGCCGGGGAGTGGACTGCAAACATACACGGCAGTAATGGCACATTAGGCTTCAAGTCTTTGTGAATTGTCAAAACGACTTATTCTTCAAAATTCATTTGTTTTCTTGCTTGGTGTTAGAATTATAATATATGAATTTTTAGAGGGAAATCATCGTAACAGTGATGGCTACTGACCCTGGACTCCATGAGTCTTTCCATCCTGTGCGTGATTTGTGGGGTTCAAAGCCACTTCTCTTGGCCGTAACCAGTGTGAGAAAACCATTCTTCCAATCATGTGTGGGTCAAGGCAGGAATCAAAGGAAAAAGGCCATATGGTCCCCCACACCTCTGTAGGTGGCTCGTGACCTCCATCCCCATGTGGCCAGCCCTTTTGCTGTTCCCATTACGAAGTAGGCAAATCCTAAGTACAATCACATCATTGTAAATATTATTTTATCCATAGCAAATGTCAAGAATTTAAAATTGTGATAGAGAAAAAATCCACCCCGACATCTAGATAATAGCTAATGAAAACAGTAAAATAATCTTCCAGGTCTATCGAACATTTTCTTTAGTAAAATAATGTTCCAAGTATAGTGATTATTTTATTTACTAAGAGTACACGGCAAGTTTTCTCAATAGCAATTTTTTTATATCAAAATGATGTAAAGATACTTACAGTGCCTGTCAAAAGCTGTGAAGATGTGTCTTATTTCATTCCGATAGAGTTGAACTTCCTTTTTTTTTCTTACGATACTTAAAAATTCCTCAAGTGATAGGCCTAGAAGTTACGAAACACAATTTGCCAAAAATGACCATCTTCCTATTTAAGAACAAACATAAATAAAAAGTGATACATATCATGAAGAAATTTTATCTTAGTTTAATGAACAGTGCATATTCCTAAAGCTCTATAAGGATGAAAAGACATTTTGCTAAATAGACCCGACCCTACCAATCAATAGCAAAAATGATAGTCACGGTAGGAATTCACTGAGATTTTCCTGGGAATAAAGGAATGGTGACCTCAAAAAAATGTGACACTCTTCCCTCTAAAAGATGTAACAGACAGGCCCGAAACTACTTATTAAACAAGATGTCCTAATTTTTCTTTCCTTACGGTTCTTTGATCCCTTTTCTCCTAGCCAGATGTCATTATGGCAGTTTTGTCCCCCACCCCACCCCCAGCTGGGAGATCAGGGCGAAGAAGTAGTTTCTCAACAGTCAATACCAATTGCACACCAGAGATAAAGGTGGAGAGAACATTCCATAAACAATAGAGCTGGCACCATCCCCAGCCTTGGGCACACCCCACCACTACTCGGCAGCCTCAGGCTCTGCTTCCTGTGATTCTCATAATAAAAGAGCCCAGCGTGATCATATGAGGTTGGATACTGTGCTTACAATGTCTATTAAAATGAATTCTAATGTGATCTTTATAGTAGGTTTAAAGAGTAGAGCCAAGAATTTAAACATTTTAGTGAACTGAGCCCTACATACATAAAAAGAGCAGTTCATTTTAATAACTAAGAATTTCCATTACAAAATGTATCACTATTTTAAGAATAGTTCCAAATCATATAATAACCATGTGCTAATTTCTAAGAACACGTACTTTTGGTGAGGTAATACTGAGCTGTATACCTTTGCAAAAATAGTTCCAGTGACAAAAAATAAATAAATAAATAAAACATAAAAAATAGTCTTCTTAAGGGAACCTTTGGGCAATGTTGGTAAGAATGTAAATTGGTGCAAACAGTATGGAAAACAGTATGGCAGTTCCTCAAAGAATTACTAGAACTACCATATGATCCAGCAATTCCCCTTCTGGGTATCTACCCAAAGAAAACAAAAACACTAATTTGAAAAGATATCTGTATCCTCATATGCACTGCAGCATTATTTACACTAGACAAGGCATGGAAGCAACCTAAGTGTCCACTGATAGATGAATGGATAAAGAAGGTATGGCTTATATACACAGACAATGGAATATTACTCGGTCATAAAAAAGAATGAGATCTTGCCATTCTCCACAACATGAATGGACCTGGAGGATATTATGTAGAGACAAATAACATATGATTCCACTTACATGTGGAATCTAACAAAACAAATGACTAAACAAAACTTGAGAGACACAGAGAACAGATCAGTAATTATCAGAGGGGTGGGGAAAGGGAGTGGGGCAAACCGGGTGAAAGGCATCAAAAGGTACAAACTTCTAGTTATAAAATAAATAAGTCATGGGAATGCAATATACAGCATGGTGATTATAACTCTGTATGGTCACAGGGGACAACTAGATTCATTGTGGAGATCATTTCACTACACATACACATACTGAATCACTATGTTAAACACCGTAAACTAATATAATGTTATATGTCAATTATACTTTACTAAAAAATAGTTTTATTTTCCACGCTTTTATTTGTAGTTAAAGGTTTAGAAACTTAAAAAGTCAACCTATCTTTATGTTCAAATGCTCTTCTTACAACTCTTTAGGACCCACTGTGTGTCACACAGTGTTAAGCTCTGTATTTTCAGAGGGTAAGGAGAGCACACATGATCGTAGTCTCAAACCATAATCAAGGCGTGTGAATGAGGGGGAAACCGGAAGTTACGAAAGGACCACAGGACGCCTCCTGCAGAGTAGACTCTGATGGAGAAAGGCTCTCTAAGTGGAAGGAATATTTAAAGTAATATCTATGACAAGAAGGGTCCAACTGGCTAAAGGCTAGGAGGAAGAGCATTCCAGAAAGCAGAAACGGCATGTGCCGTGGCCATGCGGTGGGAAGCGGGAGAACAAAACGGCCACTGTGGCTGAAATGTGGCGTAAGAGGGCAGGGTCGGTAAGGCAGGCAGGGTCAGAGTGCACAGGCCCTCATGGGCCACAGGAAATAATTTGGGATTTATTTGGGGCACGATAGAAAGCCAGTGAAAGGTGTGAACTGGGAAGTGACACAACATGATTTAAATTTTTCAAGGATTTTCATGGCCATTTTCTCGAAAAAGGAGCACGGAGAAAGCAAAATGAAAGAGGAGACCAGCTCAGGAGCCTACTGGTCGGAGAAGAAGCTGCTAGACCGTTGGCAGTGGGAACAGAGAACGGAAAGCTTCCAGACACAGCTCGGGAAAGAGGAGGGGTGAGATATAAAGGGTCAGAAGGAAGGAGACACTAAGAATAACCCCTGGGTTCCGGTCTGAGGAGTCATTTAGAGGTGAGAAAGATGAGGGGGAGAGCTGCAAGGTGGACGCGTCAACTGTTTGATGCTTTGGACAGGAAGCACGCACAGAAGTCAAGAAGGCAGCTGTGTATACCGGAGGCAACAGGGCACAGTCCCAGCGCCTCCCGGGCTGCCTGCCATGTGCTCAGCAAACGTGTGTTGTGCAGAATCACAGCTGAGGACAAGCAGCGAGGCAGCTCTGCTCTCATCTCGTCACTCATGACACCAGAGGACACACTTGCACTGCCTGCTGAGGATAAAGCTGAAGTCTAGTCATGCCACGTTCCCACCGGATCAGATCTGTTAACTTTACTTTCACGAACAGCAAAAGCTAATCAATTAGACAGCAGCTAGATTAGTTGAAATTTCTGAATAATGTATTCACTGATCACAGCAGGCCCTACGAAGCCCCTTCACAGTCTGCCCAGTCTACCTTTCCAGCCTCCCTCCCAAACTTCCTGAGGCTTCCTCAAGGTGACAGGCCCTTTCGTACCTTCGCCAGAGCTGGGCACATTACCTGGAATGAGCTTCTCCTTTTTATCCTCCTGAATGTTCACATCTGTATGTAACTAGTGCATTACCTCTTTCTTGAAGTCTTGCCTGATTTCTCCTAGCTGAGTCCCTTTTCTGTGACCCAACAGCCCTCTGTTCATAGCACAATTGTTATTCTTTAATCTGTTAGGTCCTACGGTAATAATCTAATCACACATCTGTCTGAGAAGCACTAAGGGGACACATTGCATGCGGTTTAAAATTTTACCCCTAGTGTTTAGCATGATACCTGACACACAGTAAGCATGCATTACATGTTTGCTGAATAAATAAATAAACCAATAGGAAAATATTATTTCTAGTTTTCAGCAAAGATCATTACAATGTGTTTTAAAAGATCTAAGTCTGTAAAACTAATGCCAAAAAGTAGGTTACTTTCTATTCACCTAGCCAGCAAAATAAACCATCATTTTAGAAACCTCAATTTATTAATACCTACGGTGTAGTAAAAAACAAGTGAAATTCAGAGAGGAAGGGCAATCCATGCATAATATTTGCTCTTTACTTACCATTGCATATGATTAAGGGAAGTGATAAGAAAAAAACAGGACAATACCATTGTTCCATGTATGACTCTCTCTCTCTCTCTCTCTCTCTCTCACACACACACACACACACACACACGTACATGAGTGGTGATACCTTTTAAAGTACATATTTAGAAAACACATTGGTATTTGGAGCTGTAATGTAGTTAGGGTCTTTATTTCATAATCTTGTGGGATAAAAAGCAAATGTTCTTTAGTTTCTCCTAGAAGAAAATGTGGATTTCAACTGTATGTTTACCACCACTTAGAAAAGGAAAACAATCAAGTAACACAAATAACTCTCTCTATCTAATTTAGTTCTCTGACAGTATTTTCCCCACAGGATGATACCTTTTTTTTTAAAGTCTATTTTTTGAGAGAGAGTGTGCGTGTCCGTGCAAGCAGGGGAGGGGCAAAGAGAGAGGTGACCAGCAACCCGAAGCGGGCTCCATTCTGCCAGCACAGAGCCCGATGCGAGGCTCAAACTCATGAACCGGGAGATCATGACCTGAGCCAAAGTCAGATGCTCGACTGACAGAGCCACCCAGGCGGCCCTTATTAAAAAATAAGGATCATCAAGTAATATTAAGCCATGTAAACATATCCCCGCGGCTCCCCCGCCTCCCACGCCCTTATCTTAATCTTCCACAGCAACAAATATGCAAATGAGAGCCCCTTTTCTGACAAGGATAAAGTTCCATTCAGCTCGGCTCTCAGGCTGTAGTATGTAATACAATCACTTCCCACAGCCTGGGCTAACGGTTGCTACTCCTACAGCTCTGAAACGCAAACACATTCATGTAAGTTTTCTACATCTTGCTGCTCTTTAAATGGCCTAGAAATACAGGATCTGCTACTAGCTCCACCTGCTGTCACAATATTCAAACCTAAAATTACCTCTTCACAAAGACTGAATAATTCTATGGCCGTCAGATTTCACGCTCAATGACAAATGCATTGCGTGTGTTCACCCCTGGCGTGAAAGAATATGTTCAGAAAATTCTAATTTCAAATACAACGTTGGGTCTCCTATGTGCCTTGTTCCACTAATGGTTACCAAAATTCGCTTCACCGCAGTTACACATTAGGATCGTAACATCAGGAACCAGAGACCTGTGTGTTTACCTGAGCTTATTATTACTCTGTCTACAAAAGGTGTTCAGAAATCACCTGGGTAGTTGGGACTATATCAGTAGTTTACAGATTTTTTTTTTCGCTGTTAGAAAGGTGGTTCTTTGTGAAACAAGAAAGCCTGCTATGTAGAGGAAATGAAGTCAGAGCTGTTTGATTGGAGCAGGGTGGCCTCCCCACCACTCCCCGTCTAGCAGTGTCCAGGCAAGTGTCCCTCACCCCCCAGGACTCAGGATTAAGGACCATGCCTTAAAGACCACTGACACCAGTGATCTTTACAAATCCTTCTAGACGATGGGAATCTATTTTCCACACCACTGGAAGACATGTACTTCCACTGT